TGCCATCGGGGTTGGGTTTTCGTCGCTTGGCAACGACGTATCCCCCCTCCGTCCCCCCCTCGGTGTTTGCCATCGGGATTGGGTTTTCGTCGCGTGGCAACGACGTTGTAAAACAAGCCAATTCACTTCGTGAACTCGGCAACCAGGTTACCGTTTTTTTTTTTTACCTCCGTTTTTTTTTTTGGCGGTAACCATAATGGTGGTCGAGTAGATCATGTTGTGCGGGGTGGAGAACCCTCACTCCGCGCAAGGGGGATGATCGCACCACGTTGTGTTAAAATGGTCAAGCACCCTCGAGGCAGTTACACAGTGCTTACAACTGTCTCTGGAAGTGAAAGCACCAGAAAATAAATTAAGTCATACGCAGCTGTCATCCGTACGCAAGGAAGTAAGCACAAGATGCCGAACACCCTTAGCAGGATGCAGCGCACCCTTCATGCGACTCGCCGAATATCTCACGGCGCTTCGCGCTTGGTGATGTGAGAGCCTGGTCCGGTGAGAACCCGGCGTGCTCCGTCCCGGCTTTGTAGGGATGCGAGGTCAATGGTCTAACGACTACGGCATGCACGACTATCGGTACACCCCCCCCCCCACCGCAGGCGAGGTACGCATTGCCTAGCCCCGAAACATCTCCGCCAACCCGATGCGTGGTGGCGTAGTCCAACCGGGGCTCAAGATCCGCGTCAATTTGCAGTTGCAGTGCCTCAGTGGTGTCCGATAACCGACAAAATCATCCGCAAACAGCATTCCTGACACCGACGTTTCCGTGTCCCCTACTTTTACTCTCTTCTGGACTGCCTCTACGACTTCCAACAAATGGTTGATGAACACCTGGAACACCCACCGCACTTTACGTACTATGATAGGTTCGTTTTCGGGCAATCGCATTTGATGTAGCTGCCACTTTCGTTTTTTTTTTTTTTTTGGTCCTCGCCTCCACCGCCGCTGCCGTTTCACGCCACCATGCAATGTGATGTCATGTTATGTGATGTGGTGTCGTGTGGTGTGATGCAGCGTGCAAGGGACTGATGGACGTGTCCATCCAGACGTCGACACCGGTAGTCCTGGGGGTGCTGACGTGCACGGAAGAGGAGCAGGCGATCAAACGCTCCACCGGGGACAATAACCACGGGGTTGACTGGGGTAAGGCATGCCTTAGGGCACACAATATTCGTGTTGTTGCTGTTGCTGTTGTTGATAATGATGATGGTATTCTTGATGGTGTTGTTGCTGCTGCTGTTGGTGGTGATGGTCGTGGTGGTAATACTTGCGGGCTGTTTGCTGTTTGTTGTTTGTTGTTCGTTGTTGGTGCTGTTTGCGTTGTTTATCTACGCGTTGCGGTAAGTCAACCAACCCATTCGTTGTTCTTGGGGTTCTTCCTTCTCAAACCTCGCCGCCGGGTAGATGTCAAGTACATCCTGTAAGGGTGTGATAGGGCTTGACAAAGTCCATCCTTGCATGTTATCGGTCTTACTCAAACGGGAGGGGCGCCGGCGAGTAATTTATGCACTTGCTCGACAAATTCGATACGGTCCGGGTACGCGCGGCAGGGTATTGATATTTTACCGAAGCGTACCAAATTTCGGCAAGGTAATAAAATTACCGAAGCTTACGGTAGGGTGTGGAAATCTTACCGGAGCATACCGAGACGCTCGGTGGGGTACATACCGCCTGTTGTTACCGTCGATGTGCCTCGGTCGTACCTTACCGAACACACCCTTGGAAAAAATTGGTTCTGGAAAAAAAAATCTGTTTCTTTTTTGCCCACGCTCGCGAAGGAAAGCTTCAAAGCTTGATCTGGTCGTCCTCCGTTCGCCCTAACACCCCCGCCCGCCCTCTCCGGGAAACAACGTGTGCTTGTGTTTGTGTGTGTCAAATTTCTTGGAACGTTCGGCAGGCAAGACGGCGGTCGAGATGGGCCTTCTCCGCATGAGCGCTACGGGCATAGGCAAGAAGGCAAGCAAGAGCAAGCATGGCGTTGGGTTGTTCTTTGGAGTTTAGTCGCCCGTGCGATTTCAATCGGACTCCTCTGGCTAAAACGACCAACCAACTCGCGTGCTTTTTTCGCCGCGCGCGAATTTTTCTGTGTGCACAGCAAAGGCTCATGTGGCCAAGTCTCTTACCCTGCCCCCCTCTCTCATCCCCATGCTTGGTGGCGTCACCCCCATTTCCTCCCCATCCGCGATGCTCCCTCCTATCCCCTGTTTTGTCGGTACTCAAGGCGGGCGGGGCTTTGGGTTTCGGGAAGAGCTTAGACGACAAGAAGGACGGCAAGGACGGCGCTATCCCCGGCAGCAAGCCAAAGAAGATCGGCTTCTAGACCAGGCCGTCCTTCTTTCGACTGACTTTGATGTGCTTCCATCCTTGTCAGGCCACTGGAGGAAGAAGACAACAAGCGCCGTTCGCTTTCGGTTGTTGTTGAGTTTGGCGCGTTCCCTTCAGCGACGCAGAATCCGGTCGTGGTTGTGCCTTGATAAGAGGAAAAACCACTGTTGAACAGCAGGGGGCAGCCTCCCTCCTCTCCATACACAAATTTGGGTCAAGTTTGGATGGTGTGCTCTAAGAGCGTGGTAATATAGTACGAGCGCTTGCAGCAGCATCTCTGCTTGCTGACGGGAGGAAAAGAAACATAAAATCCACCCCCACTCTGTGCGAACGCTCGCACGACGTCACACCAACAACATGTCCTTCAGACTATTTTCATTGGCCAGCTCGTTAGCGTGGTCGACTGGACGGAAAGAAACACACTCATGGGACCAGAGGATTCCAATTCCAACCATGTGCGGAGGATCTAGACTGGGCACAAGAACAACGTTACTACTATTATAGACTATTTACCTGACAAATCTCAAAATAGCAATCGACAGCCACCATGGAAGGGAGACAGAGCGCCATTCACGAGACAAACGGGCTACTGTTGGAGCAAGGGCGTTGCACGACAGCAAAGAAGACAAAGAGTGATCGGGATTGATTTTGGCCCAGGAGAAACAACACCATGCGCAAAAAATAATTCACAAATATGTACCAACAGAACAAACTACTTTTTTTTTGTCTCCGCGGCTGTCTCCTGTTCTCTTATTACATGAACAGCAGTCAACACGAAAAATAGACATCGTAGGCGAGATCGTGAAGGGAGTGACAAGAGAGACAACAAGAATGAAATTTAACGATGACGGAAAAATCGGGACGAGACGGGCAGCTCACGACGAAGACACAAAAGATTGCTGCACCACGAACCGACAACAGCCACATCATAAACACGCCGAGTAGCGGACGTACAGTAAGTACAACGATACCTTCTTGTGGGTGAGGAAAGGAGGTTCGAGACCCCAGGTCTGACAAGAGGCTGGATACCCGACAACGTTCGCTTCCAGCAAAACAAGGGAAACACAGAAACAAAAAAGCAAGAGCCTACGGGAGAGGAGGTAGCCAGCTACATTAGACAGGCGAGGTTAACACACTCCAAGTAACGCCTGTCACTTTACGTCGCCAGCTTTTGAAGGCAAACCAACACCGGCCTGCCTTCTGCCCCCTTTGCAAAGGACAAAACACACCGCCACGAATTTTATCAGTTACAGAAAGAACAACCTAACCAAAGGCACGATAATCAGACAGACGTAAGCCGGGGCAGGGTTCTCTGTCCCTCCCTGCCGTTGTTCCTCGTCAAAGCAGCAGCAGCGTTCCCTCTAAAATACGACGCAAGCAGCAAGTATTTGAAACGCAAATCCCACAAAAACAGTGACTCGTTAGGATACAGAAACAATTAGACTCTTACGAAAACACTGCGACCCTTCAGTCGCACATTCCTACAAAAATAGCGAGCTCGTAAGGCATTCTACAGATACAACAAGATAGAGGACGACCAGAAACACTCAAGAGGAGCTGCCGCTGCTCCGGAAGCTAATCCGCCGCCGCGGGCCTGTACCGGACTGCGAGAACACCGACCGGCGCATCGCCGCCGCCGAACCCGCCTCCTTCCACTGGGAAGACCCGCCCTCTCCGCCGTCCACCGACGCCGACCCCCACCCCTTACCCATCACCGCTCGCCCTCGGCTAGCCCCGACGTCGCTCCATCCCCCCGGGCTGCCGCCGCCGGGGCTGTGAAGACGGCCCCCACCACGGCCGTCTTCGCTCCCGCTCCCCCTCGAGGACAGCGGCAGCAACCTCGGGTCGTTGGCGCTACCGCCACCGTTTCCAAGGTTGAAGCCGTTCTCGCTGCTGCCTTGCTCCTCCGCGTTCCGCTCGCCGTTGTCGTCGCCTGGGAAGACCAATACCGCCGTCGGGGAACTTCGACGGGACCATATCCTGCGCCGTGGTTTTGGCTTCGGTTGCTGCTGCTGCTGCTGCTGCTTGCTGGTGTGTGAGCGCGGAGATGAGGGAGTGCTTACGGGGGGCGTGGCGAAGAAAGAGTTGTCGTGACGGGTGTTGGACGGCCGCTGCCGAAGCTGCTGCTGCTTCTGCTGCTGCTGTGGATTATTCACGGGCGTCGTCTTGCTACGCTCGACAGTCACCGTCGTCGCCGCCTTGCTCGGAGAGGAAGACAGCATGTGCACGGACGACGCCGAGATGTCCCCCACCGTCCTGCTGCTGTCGCCGCCGCCTCGCGTTTTTCGTTCAGGCGTAGACGGAGGGTAGCCGTTGCCGTTAGCAACGTCGCCGCGCCCAACCTGCCGCGTCTGCTGCTGCTGCTGCTGCTGCTGCTGCTGCTGCTGCCGTATGATTGTCACGTGCGTTGCTGTCAACAACAGAAAGGCGCGCGGGGGAGACGCAGGGG